TGTGCCACCCCCGCCTGGTCCTATCGTGGATGCACTCTTAAATAGGACCAGATGGTGACAGCACATGTCTTGGTCAAAACAATGGGTCTGGGGGTGTTCTGGTATGCAGTCGTTTGTCCCTCCCAAATATGGTCCAAGGAACTGTTCAATCCAACAGAAAATCTACTGCAGCACAAACTGCTGAAATGCTAGCCTGATAGAAAGGTGTCAGAACCACCCATCCCACCTGTGGGTGGCCGTGGCTCCGGTGATGGAGCAGTTGTCCTCTGATCGCAATGTTGGGGGTTCCATTTGGTTGAAAACTGCTTCGTTTTCTGCTCCTTCTGAAGTCTTTCGGGAGACAACTGGTTTTCAGTGGAGGTGTTTTTATACCCAGTGATCTCAATCTCTAACAGAACCTGCTGCAAAGCAGGTTAGCTGTTCAGCTAACTTACCATGGTGATGGACCTGGTAAAAAGAGAACCACTGTCGTAGGACTTAAAACCCAGGATTTAACCTGAAGCTACCTCGCTAACCTCAGATCCTGCTTCGTAGTACAGGCCACTGATCTCCATCCTGGAGAACATGAGTAGGCAGAGCCGAAAAGGTGTGTGGAGCAAGCAGACCAACAAACCTGACTCAGTTCCACCAGTTCTGTCAGGAGGAATGGGCAGAACTCATCAGACTATTGTGAGAAGCTTGTGGAAGGAAACCCAGAACGTTTGACTCAAGTCATACAGTTTGAAGGCAATGCTACCAGATACTGAGGACATGATGTAAACTTCTGACTTTGAAGAAAGTAATGAAACATTCTCTCTCTCATTACTCTGGTGTTTAGCAAATAGAAATAATGTTTGTAATCCTGACTGATCTGAAACAGGAAAAGTTTAGTCTGATATAATGTCAGACAGTGAGAAAAAAAAAAAGGTTTTATGTCTTTTTATAGAGTGGATGTAAACTTCTGGTTTCAACTGTATATCGCAGAAAATGGCTGCCCAAGTTTGATATCGAATGTTTTCTTTTATATCGTGGGTGCATCGTTTACCAGGGGAGGAGATAGCAGGATGTACTATGGACAGAAGGAAACCAGCAGAGGCTGTGTGATGCGATGTACTACGCTCTGTTGAGAAACCTGCATTCGTGTAGATATTACTATGACACGACCCCTCTCTAAGGCAGCAAAACAGTGCTGACTTAAAGGATCTGCTCCTAACGTCTTAATGGCTGCATGGAGGTCTGTGAGGTTCAGGATCGACAGATCAGAGCTTTTTTTGGTGGCACAACTGGGACCTACACTGATCTTTGTATATCTATATACAGTCATGGAAAAAATCATCAGACCACCTTGTTTTCTTCAATTTCTTGTTCATTTTTTTTTGCCTGGTACCACCAAAGGTACATTTGTTTGGACAAATACAATGATGACAATAAAAATAACTCATAAGAGTTTAATTTCAGAGCTTGTATCAGACATGTTCCAGGGTTTTCTTGATAATAAGTTCTTCCATTGGTAGCTATGGCATTGTGCTGCCAAAACAGTGCTTTTAGACATTCCATGTTTTCTTTTCTGTCTGTTTTAGTCACATGATGCACAGGAGTTAGTACTTGATGGTATAACCATTGTTTCTGATGAATGCAGCCATGCGTCTTGGCTGCTCTCCACCAGCTTCTGACATTGTTCTGCTGTCACAGCAGCCCATTCCTGTTGCACACATTCAAACTAATGTGCTTTGTTTGTGGGCTTGTGGTTCTCCATTTAGCGTTTGATGGTTTTCCACAGGTTTTCAGTTGGATGTAGATCTGGTGATTGAGCAGGCCAAGGCATGGTTCCAGTGTTCTGGCTCTCCATCCAGGTCTTAACTGACCTTGCCATGTGGCAAGGGGCATTGTCTTGTTGGAAAATCCAGTCATTGGAGGCAGGAAAGAGTTTTCCAGCTAATGGAAGAAGACTGTTTTCCAGAGTAGCCTGTACATGACCTGGTCCATTCGCCCTTCACACAGTTGCATTTGCCTTTCTGCGTGGAGTCTCCAGGTTCTCTCCGTGCAGCGCAGGTTCTCCGGCTTCCTCCCACAGTCCAGAAACATGCTGAGGTTAATTGGTGATTCTAAATTGTCTGTCGGTGTAAATGTGAGTGTGTTTGGTTGTCTGTTTCTAAGCGTAGCCCTGTGATAGACTGGTTACCTGTCCAGGTGAACCTGCCTTCACCCTGAGTCAGCTGGGATTGAGTCCGCTCCCCACGACCCTAGTGATGATTAAGGTGCCAGTCTTTGTCTGCTTCGTTGTAATGTACTACACCTGTGTGTGGTAGAACCCTCCTTCCCCAGCGCATATATACTCAGATTGTTCCTCGCTAGTTTGTCTTGTGCTTTCATCTCAGCTTTTTTCTCCATGTGATCTTCTTCGTGTTGCCTGGGTGTTTTTGTGAGCCAGCCTGTTCAGACTACCGACCTTGATTTTCAGATTTGTATACTTTTTCCTGATTATTGTGCTTCTGTACAATAAACCTGTTGTACTTTTTGTGAGCCTCCTTAGTCATGCATCTCAAGTCCATTTCCTGTTTGTATTTTGTAATAGCCAGAGCATAATACTACCAACATCATTTTTGATGGTAGGGTTGGTGTTCTTGGGGTTAAAGGTCTCACCTTCTCTCCTCCAGACATGTTTCTTCTCAGTGTTTGTTCCATCTGACCACAGAACTTTACTCCAGAAGGCCTTTTCTTTGTCTTTGTGACCTGCAGCAAACTTCAGTGGAGCTTTAAGGTTCTGCTTCTGGAGGAAGAACTTCCTTCTTCATCAGCCTTTCAGCTCATGTTGAAGTCAAACCCTGTGGACACTGACAGCGGTGTTCCAGCAGCTTCTGATCCATCCAGAGCTGCTCTCTGCTGATTCCTGGTTGACTCTTGACCATCCTGACCAATCATCTCTCAGCAGCAGCTGGTAGTTCTTCCTAATGGTGGCAATAACACAACTGGACCATGAACTTCATGCTGACAAACTGATGGTTCCGGGGTCTGAAGCTGCTCTAAAATGGCTCCAAGTGACTTTCTGACTGGTTCTCGTCACTGATTTGCTCCTCAGATTTCCCACTGTAGTGTTTGTGTCTGAGTCTGAAAAGTGGATAAGATGGACCCTCAGCTGTAGTCACTCATCATCTCTCATAAGAAGGTAGGAGGCCCTGCAGCTACAGCGCAGCTCTCTGGTGGCACCTCGGTTTACAGTTTCTGGAGTACTGTATGCTCCTCTTGGCCACAGCCACAGACTGTAGCGTGTTTTTTGCTTCCGATACGACTAACCTGAAAATGTTTAGATCTTTCTTGAATTATTTCCAAGTTGTTTTTGTCCTCTGGCTGGAAGACAAAAATATAAAGCTTTTCATTCAACAACAAATTGAGCATCAAGAAAAAGTACAGCTTCGATTATTTACATGTGATCAATTATACGTTCAACTTCACTTTCTGTGAAGGAAAAATGACTTTCCTTATTTCATGTTAATCTTTTAGAGAAGATATTGAACCCTAAGTGACCTCCTGAGGTAAATTTAGCGCTGTTGCAGGTGTATGCGCTGTAACTACTATAGATTCTTGACCTCATGTAAACCTTGTTGTAGGAGGACAGCTTGCACCTGTCAAGGCCAGATGATACCCAGGCACTGACTTATCTTTGTCTCTCCCACTGAAGGAGGATATAAGACTGAAGGTGTGAGAGCGATCTTTAGAATTGATGCTGGCATTGCTCCAGGCTCCTCATCCAACATCAACCTCTTCCAGAATGTCCACAACACTTTCCTTTAAAATCAACGACGGGGCTCAATTTCCATTAAAATCAAACAACATTTCAATCCAAAGTGAGGACACAACAAGAAGAGCAGGTTGTTTCTCATCATTTTACTTTTCATTATGTGAAATAGTCTTGTTCTTTCCATATAAACATATAAACACTGTTGAAGCATCCCATCATCCACATCTGTACAATCGTAAATACAAAAACAGAAGCCTCGGTTTGTGTCATTCCACTTATAGGACAGTGAACGTTCACGGTTTGTTTGGATGGTTTTTTTTTTCATCTTTTTCAACCCAAACCATTTTCATCTTTAAGAAGCCACATCCTGAACCTGAAGGAACCAGTTTCTTACAGCGCTCTGCAGTCCTAAAGGGCAGACCAGTCCGATCCCAAGCATTCTGCCTGGTCACTGAGAAAAACTGGACTGGACTTACGAGCAACAGAATTGGTGCTGACGTGTTATGAGCTCTGATGACGCTGCTAAATGAGTCAGTGATATCTACAGCACGTCAACAGGACAACGGCCTGGAGGAGCCAGAAGGCCTTCAGTCCAAAGGCTGCGCATGCAGAGGGCTGGTAGTCAAGCACAGTGAAGCTATTGTGCAAACACTTCTACTTCAGCCCCATCTGGACTTCACATGTCTGCTTCTTTTCCACTTGGCACTTGTTGAGATAAATGACAAAGACCAGAACCACAAACACTTTTGCAAGATCAAAGAAAAATATGAACTTAAAATTAAATTACGAAGCATTGTTTCAGTTCTGGTGACTGGTAGCATCGATCAGCAGACTCTGGCAGGGAACAGATGAAGCAATGCTGCTGCAAGTCCTTCACTGCATGTGTTCTGTCACCATGATGGACCAGAGCAGCAGCAGAAAACACTATCGACGCAGATGACGGGTTGTTCTGTCAGCCATAAGAATGATCATTTAGTTTTGGAATAAGGACAAAATATAATATTTTCCCAGTTTTAATCAGCTGCTATTGGAGAATGTATAATATACTGGGGTGCTCATACCTGCCTTTAGACTTTACCCAGAAAATTAGAAAATCTGCATCAACCTGAACAGATGATAAACCTTTGTTTTCCAGTGGGAAAGGGTCAAAACTGATTAAACCTCCAGTCTGGTGCTACTGAAACTAATCACAAAGGTAGATCAGGTGAAGGGTTTTTTGCAAATTCATTTCAACATTGGCCACTTCAGCATCCTCCATTATTCGTCAGAGTTATCATGTTTGCGTGGAACACATCACTGACCCGCTTCTGCAGCAAACACATGATACATCCACCTCCCATCTCCAAATCAAACCGTTTCTACAGTCAGGCGCTCAGTGGTGCAGCAGTATAAGTGAATGAGGAGGTGTTGGCCTCTAGATGTAGTCGTCATCCACAGGCTCTCCTGGTGTATCACAGTGATGAAGGAAGAGAACCACCACTCTCTGGAACACTCCTCTTTTGCACTGTCGGCGCTCTGAGATCTCCTCCCCAATGGTCTCCATGCAGATGTCAGCAGACAGTTGGCCTTTACGTCGCGGTGCGTAGATGGTGGCTGCAACACGACATAAAGCAACAGGGAGAAGAGCATTTCATGATCTGTGGTTGTCTGATAAAGGGACAGCTGTGAGTACTGGTAAATGAAGTGACAGCTGACTGGACACATAGATGTCTTGGACTCACTGTTTTCATCATCCTCAAAGTCGTAGCGGGCGTAGCTGTTAGGATCAGCTGCTCTGAGAGTCCTCAGCCAGGGGAAGTCTGTGATCATGCTGTACGGAGCTCCATCCACCACTCCTACACAACACATCAGAGAAGAAGAAACATGTGAACAACACTTCTCAAGTGTCTCCAGCCAGCAGGTCGGTTAATTTATCTAGAATAAGCTTGTCAGTTCAGCCTGTCTTCTTTGTGCTGAGGATATATGGTTCCTCATGCTCCCTTTCTTCCATATAAATGGAGAGGATTTATAATGTCATCTTCTAATGCATAGTCGACTCTTCCAGTCATCCAGAATGAAACACATCCAACAACCCCAAGTTTCTGTTCAGCACTGTAGCCAGGCTGACAAAGAGTCACAGCTCTGCGGAGCCTTGTGCTCCTTTAGCTCTCAGCAGTGCAGACTTTATGACCTTCTGCACTGATAAAGTTTGAAAATCAGACAAAAACATATGAACATGTCTGCAGGTGGAGCAGCAGCTCTGGATGCATCCATAGGACCAGATTTATACTGTGACTGCTTCTCTGCTGTAAACCTCTCAGCGCTTATGTCGATAATAAATTCTTCTAAACCAGCAACATGTCTGTTAGACCCAATCCCAACTAGACTGGTCAAGGACGTCTTAGCCTTAATTAACACTACAGTACTACTGGAAAAAGACTGTGTAGTAGATGTATATGTGAACTTAAACCTTCAGTGATAAACTAGAGAGCTCTGAGGCTGGATGTTGGTGGAACTATCTTACCCTCCAGTGTGTAGATGTCCCGCCCCCAGGGGTATTTGGAAAACCTCTTAACATCCTCTTCTGTCCTGGTGGCCTCTGGGAAGAACTCATACTTGATTAACTCTCTGAGGGAGACACAAACAGAAAGATCATTTTACAGTTCACTGGAGTTGATCAAGTTAAAACTGAACTCTAGCCTCATAGTGGCATGTGAAAGTCATGAAGAGTTTGATTCAGGATGGTCCGAACCATTTCGTGGCTGTCATGCTCTAAACACACATAAACATATATGGCAGATTGTGCAGTCCCTGCCAGTGTTACTCCAAGGACAACATTTAGAATAATCCAGGATAGACACATCTGTGGACCATTTCAGAAGACTTTACTCACTGGCTGATGTTGGCTATTGTGTCCATCCAGCTGCGAATGCGAACTTTGTTGCGTATGTTTGGAGGGTTGCTGAACTCGTGCACTATAGCAATATGATACGGATAGGGCCCCTGGAAGAGCTGGCGCTCCAATGCCACTGAGTCAATCTGAGGAGAGGAGACAAAGATGGTAAAGAAATTGAGTGTCAACCAAGAAGAATTGGAGGAAGAAAAAGGATGCAGAGAAACACTGGGACTCAACAGTAAGGGCTGTAGTTGAAGCTGGGATGGGTGGTGGAACAGTTACGGTGGGCACCCAACAGGTATCATCAGACGGAACCCACTTGGGTGCATAAACTCTACTCTTCATCATCCTTGTCAGTGGTGCATCCCAGCCACAACTTGTTGTCATATAGGAGTTCTACATCCCAAACAACTAATAAGTAAGCTTGTACCAAAGGTTGAGATGGTGCAGCTATTCTGAAATGACATGGACTGACCCTATCACAAAGACTTTAATGTCCAATTTCCCTTGATTCAGCCTTGGCTAAACGTGACTTGGATGATTGAGAATCTTTACAAACATCTTTTCTTGCCGAGCAGCTCACTGAGTGGAGGCAAGGTCTTGGAAGAGTCCTAAGCCCCTTTCAAACATGCACCCCTTTCTATCAACTTGGCAGCATCTGAACATGTCTGCTTCAAAGTTGAATGAGCACCCTGATAACTTTTCCACAAAAGTTGTGATGGCGAGCTCATCAGATCAGACCTAATAACCTCTATATCACTTTCAACATGGCACAGTCCTGACCTGCATGCAGTCACACTGACAGATAGATACACACAAGCAATGGATCACTGGATTTTCTCTTTCAGAGCATTGTCTGTAAACCCTAGAGATGGTTGTGTGTAAACATCCCAGTCGATCAACTGTCCCCTAAAAATCCACCAACAACCACGCCATGTTCCAAGTCCCTTAAATCACTGTTCTTCCCCATGCTGATGCTGGGTCTGACGAGGTCTACACGTTTAATCATTGCTGCCATGTTGATGAGATATTTGCGATAACGAGCACTTGAAGAGCTGTAGATAATGAGGTGGCCAGTGAGTGTAGACACGAAGCAGCCCATCTAAAACAGGGCTAAAGTCAGGGCTTCAACAGTCATGGTGAAATGATTGAGGGGCTCACTGGAGAGACGAGAGACTTTTATTACTCTGCTGAAAAGGGGCACAATGTGGGATATTTCATATCAGTTAGAGACTCTGGGAAAGTTTTACAAATATAAAACCTTTATAGTCTGAAAATGCACAAGAATAATGAGTCACAACTGACCAGTTTTAAGAGTCCTGACAACAACTGTACAAATATCAAAAATGCAAGATCTACAGGCTGCAGAAGATTTATCAGTTGCAGCATCACGAGCAGACACCAGAACAAAAGAGGTCCAGTGGCAACGCTAACTTGCTCTAAACATACATGGTGAGGACAGATTTTCTAAAGAGACACAACCTGCCCCCCGTTTTACCAACCTGGTGCATCGGACGCATGTAGATGATGCGGTTCCTTTCGGGAGGCATTCTCAGTATCTGGTCGAGGACCTGCTCCATCTCCAGCTTCTTACACTGAGCATAGTCAAACCTGTTGACTATGGGGGCGCTTTCCACCTGCAGCTGCTTCAGCACTCGACATCTGGTGGCTTCAGTGAGAGACACAGAAGGAGAACATAAAGAGACAAATCAGCTTGTGACTGAAAGTCATGTGAATCTGAATGTATAGAAACATTGGCCAAACTGAACTGTTATACCAACTGGATTAAACATGAGCAGCAGCCAGACGTACGCTGGATGTTTAACGTGGTGGACAGTGAAGGGGATGTGGTAGAAGTTCAGTTATCCCCCATAATTAATTAACTTGTACTGCAAACACTCTAACTCTAAAACAGCAGTCCCCAAACACCACGGCCACACAGAGAGAATAAAAACATTTTATTGGTTTATCTTATTTCTGGCAGAGTCTGCAGGGTGTTTTATTTTGAGAAATGACCAGCTGGTCTCCTGTCAGTTCTCATGTCCGGCGTTAAACAGAGCCGTCAGTCTGACTCATAGACTGTATAAAAGATGGACGTAGCTACCGTGACGTCACCCGTTGGTTTCTGCACTGAGAAAAT